AACCATCAATGGGGCATAAGCATTTTTGCACGGAAAACGTACAACTGAGATTTTACAAATGTATACGAATAAGTCACCAATTTGGTAAAATGTAAAATACTTGCCATGAGATTGTGTACATGTATAATTTTGGTTACCCTTTATTCTAAGATGTCTTTATTACAGTGTAATTATACATTTAAGTACTGAGTAACATTAATAGAGTGCAACAGTTGGGTTCCGGATGAAAAAAATGGCGTTAATTTTCTTCATAGGGAAATGGATTTTTAATGATAACTTACAAACCTTTATAAAGACAGACCTACTTTCAGCTCTGAGGTTGTTAATCAATAAAAAAATGCTGGGTTAAATACAACCCAGTGCTGGGTAAAAATAACCCAGCATTTTTTAGAGTGTATATGCTTGTGTTAAAGCCATCAGTTCGCATTTTTTAAATTACGTTTTACATAATTGTGATAAAAACTGCAGAATCCCTGATGGTTAAAAAAATTAAAAAAAACTACATTACCCATGATGCTGTAAAGAAAATTCCACCAATCAGAGAGTAGCAGTGATCAAATGAGCACTGAGCTCCACCCACTCCTACGAAGCATATGTATACATATTTTGCAATAAACTTAAAATATGTTGTGTCTATACATACAGTATATACAATCAACAATTTTAAATGGATGTTTTTTTTTTATTTCACCGTCGTATTTAGTTTGATTATCATTTACAATGATTTGCAATGGGATTGCAGTTCTTTCTCTCACTAAATCTGTTAAGTACACAATCTTGTATCTTTGTCTTCAAATACTTTTATGTTTCAAATTAAAGTTTGTAATGTTGAGATTCATGGCTTATAGCACTTTAACAAGTTTTTTTTTTTTAATTTCTAGGTGGAAAATGAATGGAAAAAATACTTTTGGAACCAGTGCTGCTGTAAAAGTGGTGAGACACTAATGCACTCTATTTACAACATACTTACTATAGGGTTAGAATTAGGGTTTGGGTTTGGTTTAGGGTTAGTTGCATGAAATTACTATAGTAAGTACATGCAACATGTAACAAGTACACTGTAAATAAAGTGTTGCCATTTCTACTTGTAGGGATGTACATCTAGGGATGTAAATTTTTCCAAATTTCCCCTATTAGAAGCTCAAGGATGCAGTCCATAAATCTTTAAGCCTTTAAGCGTTATCAATCTTAAAGTTAATCAGACTAACACCATCAAACCATAATGATCATAATTAGCCCTAAAATCGAGCATCTTGGTAGAACGATTATTTTAATAGCTATTAAAGTGAAAGAACTGAGGTTTCATGAATCATAAATGGATGTTGACTAATGAACTGTTTCATGAGCTGTGTGAGATCGAGCAGAAATGTGTCATCATTGCAAACACAGAAGACTGATCATCGCTCTGTACAGATGTACAGAAGATGTCTTACACCATAAGGTAACCAAAATGGACGTTTGCCCTATGTGACGATATGGAAACAAAACCTTCTGTGGTATAACTCTTGCTGTGGGAGATTGTAATACAGACAAGTGTGACATGATCAAATGTGTTGTTGTGTTTAACACCCCACAGTGCTACTTTGAGATACACCAGATGTTTCTGCAAAAGCATTTGACCCTGACAGGAAAGAGAAGCTACTCTTAAAGGCATAGTTCACCAAAAATTTTAATACTGTTATTTACTAACCCTAATGTCATTCCAAGCATGCATGAATTTCTTTTGCAAAACACAGAAGATATTTTGAAGAATGATTTTTGTTCATACAATGAATGTCAATGGGGTCCAATGTTGTTTGGACCTCACTGACTTTCATTGTAGAAAAATAGTTAATAAATGACTGTCTGGATACAATGAACTGAAGTATGATTGTCTGGAATAAAATGATATGATTTGAATAAATTGAAATATCCTCTCTACTTTGTGAAATGGAAGTATTTACTCCTCCAAATGACATATAAACTACCATCATCTTGCTAAGCTACACAAATGACAAAATGTGGAAAGGTGTTTTTGCTGTCATCCTAGAGTGGACTAATAAACCCTTACAGCATATAATCTCTCCATGCCGCCATTATACAGCCATGCAGCAGAATATAGTTAGTTAATGATATCTTTTAGCTGACAGAAAAACAACACAAGAAGTTGAAGCGTATGTTTGTGTGTCACCATAACCCGACTGACAGCATGGCAGCGTGTGAAGATTTGACACTGATAACACAAATTCATCCCTGTTGATGCTTGTAAGAGTGATGGGGGTGTTTTGCACGTGGTTGTTTAGTGTGCAGCAGGCCAGGAGGAACAGAGGTGAGAGGAAGTTCATTTAGGGACCACAGCTCCCCCTGCTGGATGATGGAATTTGTACATTTTTGACACTTGATGTGAGGGGGATAGTTCACCCAAAAATGACAATTCTGTCATCATTCACTCATCCTCCGCTTGTTCCAAACCTGTATGAGTTTCTTTCCTCCTCTGAACACAAAAGAAGATATTTTGAAGAAAGTTGGTAACTGAACAGTTGACAGTAGCCATTGACTTCAATAGCATTTTTTTTTCAATACTATGGAAGTCAATGGCTATTTGTTTGTTTGAAACTGTTTGGTTTACCAACATTCTTCAAAATGCCTTCTTTTTTGTTCAACAGCTGAGAGAAATTCATACAGGTTTGGAACAAATTGAGGGTGAGTAAATGATTTATATGTACACTAACATAAGTTTGTGGGGAGTAGGATTTTTCTAATGGTTTTGACAGTAGTCTCATATGCTAACCAGGGCTCCATTTATTTATTTACATATATTTACAGAAATACAATAAAAACAGTAATATTGTGAGATTTTATTACAGTTTAAAATAACAGTTTTCTATTTTAATACATATTAAAAGGTGTAATTTATTCCTGTGATACAAAGCTGAATTTACAAAAATATGGTATGTGTTTGTCAAGTGGTAGAGTTTTTTTGTTTGTTTGTTTGTTTTGTTTTGTTTTGTTGTGTTTTGTTTTGTTTTTTGGACACAAGTGGTCCGCCTATGCGTCTGTTGGGGTTAACGGTCTCGAGCGCTGGTGTCATGAAGAATTTGGTGGCGTCTGTTAAAACTAGTCTGTCTAGAACTTCAAAACAATCCGATTGGCTGAAAGCTTTCTAATGAAATAGAAATTGAATAGAAATCCTACAAAACTGCTTTATGATGTATATCATCTAAACTGTTAGTATAAAACCAAAGCTATAGATACCAAAGCTACATACTTCTCGTTCATTGTGTTTTTAGCTAGCTTATGTTATGCAATACCACTACTGAGGCCAATTAGCCTAGCTTATTCCTTATGAAAATGTTCAGCTGCACATTTTAATGCATTTTTGTTTGATCAGGAATTACAAATGGCTACCCTCAAGACAGACTTAGCTAAATGGACAGATCGAACTTTTCACGATTCCGGGATGCTTCTCCAGGATCATTCCAGCCCAACTTTTTCAGTCTACACTATGCAGGCACAGTTTGATTCATGGCAGACTTCTAAATATAGCCTGAAAAAGGGAATGCCTGATCTTGCTGTCCCTGTCGAGCACAACAAACAGTCACACAAGCTAGCACAGGTGCTACTAACAAATTACACAGACAAATGAGTCAGTCTCCAGCAAGACTGCGTTCCCTTCACAGTCCAGTGTGAACGTAATGATGCATTACAGTCAATTCCACCCAGTCTGGAAATATGAAAATATGAATTATTTATGTTGTTACAATTTTCTGAAACTGTGCACATCCCTTCTTTCAGCTTTGTGGATGAATGTAGAACAGAGTACAAACAAGCGTAGATGAATACAAAGCAAAGGGACAAATAGAGTTAAAAGTGCATGTTCTTGTCAGTGAACGAATAACTCTGATTGCAGGAGTCAGCACAGGTGAGTGTGTCCTCACCCTTGCCAGCTTTTTTGGAAACCAAATTCTCCTGGCCATGTGTAAGTCATTATGCATGCAAATCTGGCAGAGGCTTTTCCATTGCTTCTGGAGATTTACATGGCCACTGACAGACTGAGACAATACTAATGGAGAGCTCAGAGGGGATCACGTACAAACCTTTTTTTCACTGATGACAGTCAGATAATGGTGATTCGTTTGCACTCGTGGTTCTTTGTTCTGACCAAAATTAGAAAAAGTGGTCAACAAGGTTGGAAAAAGGCTATCCAGTCAGGTTTCCCAACCTTCAGATCTAGTGTTACCCATGAATCAAACCATAAGCTGCGGTGGGAAGTTTAAATACCACTTTTCCACTGGCGACCCAAAACCATCCCTCCAAATTTCCAATAGAAAGGACCTTTTAACCCTTTAACCCCTGATCCCACAGTATTCAAAACCACAGCTCAGTATCTAGTGAACTAGAGAGAAACACACAAACTCTAACAAATTATGGAACTGATTTCGGGGCATCATCAGACAGAGACGACAATGGGAGAAGTGTAACCACATTAAAAACTAAATATGCGTATGTCAACGTCAAGCACACTTCTGCACTGTTAAGCATTAAAGCATTATACAAAAACAAATTCAAGTGGATCATAGTTAGTACACCTGTGGTTACACCTGCGTGAACTTGAGGAGAACTGACTTCATAAAGGGCATCCACTAAAATCACCTTGAAACCAGTTTGTGGGTTTGGTGTTTTGTATCTAATGCAATGACTTACTGACATTTGTAAGTGCTTCTCAAGCATCCAAATAGTTTTTGGTATAATTATGATATTTGAGATATGCTAAGTTTTGTCGCTTTGTTCATGGGAAATTATGGAAAATTAAATAGGTGGTACACCAGTATTCTGGTACCTTTGAAAGGATTAGATCTTAAATAATAGGCAAATACTTCAATTTAGGTCTATTTCAACCACATGCTATTTGGTTATTGCAGGATTTCCATTCTGTGATTTCAATATTGTGGATATTTGTGGTGATGACCTAATGGAGACCCACCTGGACCATCACACAGACAGGTGTTGCTGTGGTCAGGATGCACCAGCTGCATGTGGGCAAGTTCAACATATGCACTAGCAGCACTAGTATCTGAGCACATGAACACATATTCAAACATTAATCAATGTTTAAGTGAAATATTTATGGTTTACATCAGTGAGTTCTTTGTGACGTCACTCCTTTAGACATAAAATGATGTTGAAATTTTGTGGATTAAATCTTAGTAGCTCTCCAGGAAAAAAAATATTAAAAAAAAAATCCTAATTTAATCTAAACTTAAAAACTTAAACTCGTTATTATTATTATTATTATTATTATTATTATTGTTGTTATTATTATTATTAAATTAATGTTATTAGAATTATAATAATAAATATATATAATAAACTGTATCTATTTTTAATGTATCAACATATAAAAAAGTGAAAAAAAAATGTATCAAATAATTTAATATATAATACAATTATATATAAAAATACAATTATACAATTATAATATATAATACAATTAAATACAAATATATTTTTTTATTTCATTATAAATGCATTTCATAATAAATTGAAGTAAATAAATATGAAATTTGAGTATTGATTATTAAAATGTGTTTATTGCACCCTGACTGATTTTGACGCAGTTACTGAATATTTATATTTGCACATTTAAATATACTATTTAATTATTAATTTCCACTCATTTACTGTACGTCTTCTACTTCTGCAGTCTTCTACTGAAATGCACAGTTTTTTTAGCATGGCTTGTGTTTACAGATTTGCAAAGAGTTTATTGGATCAATAGATCAGATCTGACATTATGCAAAACATTACTTACGAGAAATTTTAAGCTATTATTGTTGCACTTAAAGGGATAGTTCACCTTAAAATGAAACTTTTGTCATCATTTACCCTTGTATTGTTCATAATCTGTATGACTTTTTTACTTTCATGGAACATGAAGATATTTTGAAAATGTATTCAATGCTTTGAATTTTAGCAACTGCGTCACACCAACCAACACTTCTAGATAATTAAAGATATTTCATTTCATTTTAGGTGTTTGATCAATTTATCAAAGTGATTTTTTTTTTCATATTGTATATATTAAATTAACCATGCAATGTCACATTTTTGATTGTATATTCACAGATTTGCAAAGGAAAAAATATGATGCTTTCTTTCTATTTAACTTGCATTATCTCACGACACAAAGCGTCATAAAGCAATGTTAAACAGTGGACTGATGAGCAGGCCGAAGACGTTTTTTTCATGACCTTACAGACTGAGGAGGTGACCCTGCCCAAAGCTTTGCATGCTGATTTCCATGTGTTCCATTCATGCCAGTAAATGTGTTTAGACCCTCCAGAGCCACACAGAGTCAGAGAGTGAAGGAGACTCCATGCAGAGGACACTGCTGTCAGAGATGGCCATAAAGTGAGTCCCTGATTATTAATGGTTCCATCTGCATTCTTATTTTTGAAATGATATTAACGACTAATACGCTTGAATCTACTGGTCACGAGGAATTTCAGATTCTAAGGATTTAAAGTTACAGGAATATTGTTGGCAGAATGCGATTGGATTGAAATGCTGTAGGTTCTGTAATCAATGTATTTGAAATCTGTATCACAATCAGCTTCACCACTGAAGGATCTCCATGTAATTTTCAAGGGTAGATTTTGTTGCTTTTCTCAGGAACCCGTTGATGATGTGGACTCTTGGGGTGAGTCCATCGAGAAGCTTCTGTCCTGTAAAGGTAAGAAAATTCAGTTCTGAATATGCTCTGGTTAACAGTGGATAGAATACTGTGCACCATCCATTTAAGAAACAAAATCATAAATATTACTTCCAAAGAATCTGACTAATTCATAAAGAAAAAATGCACATTTGTTTAAATGATTATTCTAAAAATTATATTTTATATATATTTCCATATATTAACATATTTCATAATTATTTATTTATTTATTAGCGATATGCATTGAGGAAAATACTCAATAAAATATATTTATATTACATTTTGCTTATAGTCTATTGAAAGCATAAGAAGATACTTATGGATTATTACGCAGTTGATTTGTCGGGTGTCTGGAGTCTGGCATAATGCAAATAAATAAAGAGTTACTCTGTCATTTGTAAACACTTGTCAATTAGTTTGAATAAAATCAATGGTTCGTGTTGAAGTGATGCATCTCAATCTCATTGCTGTATAAATATGTATCAAATATTGCATCTGCTTAAAGTATGTTCAAATGTTAATTTTCAAATTTCAGTTTCAACATCTAAATTGGAGAAGTAACGCTTAACTATTTGTGATAATTAACTCTCATGATGGTGTCATGCTGCAGCGGGACAGATGGCTTTCCAGGACTTCCTAAAGTCGGAATACAGTGAGGAAAATATTCTGTTCTGGCTGGCATGTGAGGAATACAAAACGATCACGAGCTCACCAGAGATGATCAGCAGGGCAAACCAAATCTACACTGAGTTTGTGCAAACGGAAGCACCCAGACAGGTGAATGACTGAACTGTGCTCAGCTCCTGTAATGTCCTGCTGAGGGAATCAATTATTCGGTCCTGCTGCTCAAAAGTTCATGAGAGAGTCCTTCATTGCAAGTTTCGCTTTCATCCTTGGGGGGGTGCAGGAATTCAGCATTTGAAGATAGAAATCAGATATCAGTTTAGTCGCATTAGATCCACAACAAAAAAAATAAAACTAAATAAATCATGGATTTTATTTGGGCTATTCATATTCTCAAATAATGTATCAATATTTTTGTTCCTTTTGACTCCGCCCAAACAAAATATTTATTTAAAATAATTATATAAAATATTTATTAAAAAAAAATTTTATTTATTTATTTGTTTGTTTGTTTATTACTTTTATTTATTTATTTTTACTTTTATTTATTTATTTTTACTTTTATTTATTTATTTTTACTTTTATTTATTTATTTTTACTTTTATTTATTTATTTTTACTTTTATTTATTTATTTTTACTTTTATTTATTTATTTTTACTTTTATTTATTTATTTTTACTTTTATTTATTTATTTTTACTTTTATTTATTTATTTTTACTTTTATTTATTTATTTTTACTTTTATTTATTTATTTTTACTTTTATTTATTTATTTTTACTTTTATTTATTTATTTTTACTTTTATTTATTTATTTTTACTTTTATTTATTTATTTTTACTTTTATTTATTTATTTTTACTTTTATTTGTTTTGTTTTGTTTTTTACTTTTATTTATTTATTTATTTATTTTGAAAGACAAAAAAACATTAAAAAATGTGTTGCCCTTATTTTCAGGTCAATATTGACTCTGGGACTCGCACAAATATTACAAACAACATCTCGGAGCCAAACCTGAGCTCATTTGATACGGCACAGAAGATGATCTTCAGTCTAATGGCGAGAGACTGCTATCCCAGGTTTCTGAAGTCTGACACCTACCAGTCCATTCTGCAAAAGCATGGACAGAGATGACTTCATAATGACTAATGATTAGTGTACATCAAGTTTAACTATTGCCAGTAAGTTTGTTTTATATTTGGTAAACATGACCTTTTTAGTTTTGGACTTAATAGCTCATCAGTTTTCATCATTATGTTGCCATATAACGTTTTTTGAAGGAAAACGTTTACAGTGTCACATTAGGATTTATTCTGATTTGATATTCTGCTGTTGCCTTTTGTTTTATTTTTCCTGCTCACAGAAATTTAGACCAATTAAATACACCTCATTTTAAATTATAATCATGCATCAAAAAATCATTCCATATGGGATTAAAAGGATCTGTTATGGGCCAGAAGGAATTCAGTAATTTCCTGTTTATCAACATACTGTTGAGAAATCAAGAATAATACGAAAATGAGAATTTGAATGCTGCTTTTTAACTTTTAACTTTAACTTGTACAGCCAATTCAACTACAGTCCATTTCTATAATAGTGCAACCTATCGGTCAGACATTTAAAAAATATATATATATTATTTTGATGATGATCACGATGATGATGTAGGTGTGCTTAGGTTTTCTTATGATTGATGTTATGACTGTCAGGAGGAAATTTGTAAAATGATTTTAAAAGACCATTTAAATATGACAATTTTTATGCAGGAACATCCTGGATTGCTTATATAAAAAGATAAAAATATACATTTATACATAAAAATTTAAATAAATGAACATGAAACATGAAAAAATTGTGTGAGCACTTTATGTAAAATTTATATATATATATATATACACACACACACACACACACACACACACACATATATATATATATATATACTTTTTTTTTTCTTTTTTTGCAGTTTGTGAACCATGAGTAGATGGCATATTTAAATTGACACAAATAAATGCAATAGATAGTGAGGAACAGATCAATAGTCTGTTTAATGGATATGACAATGCATAACAATGCCTGACTACAGTCCATTCTTGCCATTTAAGAACCACCAACTAAGGCAGAGAGAGAGAGAGAGAGAGAGAGAGAGAGAGAGCATCTGATAAAGTGACCAACCAAAATTTTTGTTTTCATGTGATGTTTAGGGGAAGTTTTGGTAACACTTTACAATAAGGTTCCATTAGTTAATGTTAGTTAATGTATTACCTAACGTGAACAAACAATGAACAATACACTTATTACAGTATTTATTCATCTTTGTTAATGTTCATGAAAATACAGTCGTTCATTGTTAGTTCACGTTAATTCACAGTGCATTAACTAATGCTATCAAGCACAACATTTGATTTTAATAATGCATTAGTAAATGATGAAATTAACATTAGCTAAGATTAATAAATGCTGTATAAGAGAGAGAGAGAGAGAGAGAGAGAGAGAGAGAGAGCATCTGATAAAGTGACCAACCAAAATTTTTGTTTTCATGTGATGTTTAGGGGAAGTTTTGGTAACACTTTACAATAAGGTTCCATTAGTTAATGTTAGTTAATGTATTACCTAACGTGAACAAACAATGAACAATACACTTATTACAGTATTTATTCATCTTTGTTAATGTTCATGAAAATACAGTCGTTCATTGTTAGTTCACGTTAATTCACAGTGCATTAACTAATGCTATCAAGCACAACATTTGATTTTAATAATGCATTAGTAAATGATGAAATTAACATTAGCTAAGATTAATAAATGCTGTATAAGTATTGTTCATGCTTAGTTCATGTTATCTAAAGTAGTTAACTAATGTTAACTAATGAACCTTATTGTAAAGTGTTACCGAAGTTTAATCTTAAATAGGTTATACCACAATAATAAACCAGCACTGATGAAAAAATACATAGCATTTATAATGCCACAGAAGAAGAAAAACAAAAGAAAGAAAATCTGCATAGGCTTTGTATCTGTTCAAAAAATATATATTGATTATTTCACAGATGTAATTCAGAAAACAGTGTGGACATTTTTTTGAGGTCCTGGATATCTACTTGCTAATTACCTAAAAAAAAACGCAGAACCTAGGCAGTTTTCTAGAAGTTTCATATCAGCCAGCCAATCAGCAATCAGCAAATGTGTAAAGTTATTTTCTTTTAGTGAGTAACATGCATCAGACTCATGTGTCCAGAATAGTTAGTAACATACTGTAGTGCACTATACAGGGGAAAAGTGAATACATTAGCAAGAGAGGACCGATGGACTGGTTGCAAAAACAACAGACACACAAGTTTTATGTCTTGTAGGCCTATAGCCTACCTAATTTTGGAAAACAATAAGGATAGCAAAAAAGGATCATTTTGTAATTTTTTAATGTTTAATATAGGCTATTTGTTCATAATGATTAAAATATAAAGACAGTTTAAACTGTCAACAAGAATCAACATGGACAAGCATACATGTAATAGGCCTGTGTTTATTATACAAACTATATATTTTTTCAAGTATTCATTATTTAATGTTTAACATATAAATAATAGCCTATACATTAGGCTATATTTAATAGCAACTTTCTGGGAAGTTTTTCTAGAGAAGACCATGAACTTATGAGGCTAATGCAGTTCATGGATAGTTAATATTATAATAATAGTAATATATAATAATAGTAATTGATTTAAAACTATCGCTGTAAAAATCAGTAGGAAAACTGGTAATGACAGAGAATTAGGCTACCAGTACGCTTTACATTTTCCGACGTTTCCTTCAACCTTAAACACAACCCCATTATGAAATGCGTATTTAAAAATGCGGGTAAAACACCTGTGAGAAATCAATACGAAAAATTCCTTCAAATTAACAAGATACACTGGTATTTTTAGGACTTTTCTTACAGAGCATGCAGTCCCATTCGCGTTGCATTATGGGAAATATGACTTAAGCATGTGTTCATAGATCCACAAGGAGGCCTGTATTACCAGGAGAAAGCTATCCGGGATTAAATTTCATGGATGCGTACCTATACTTGACCAGTAGGTGGCGACAGATCACTACGATGAATCGTGTTTTGTAGTACAGCAGCACCAAGCTCAACTGAATCACAGAAGCTCAAGAGTTTTAGATTTGACCTTTTAACTGACCCCACATTGTGTAAAATATCAATCTTTTTTTTCATATATCTTTTTTAAATTCAAGCACAGTCATATAAATATGAATGAAGAAGGTGGCCTGTGGAATGTAAGGCCTGCTGTTATTTTTAGCCCTTGCTTAATTTTTTATTTACCCGTTTACAAAAGACATGCGTACGTAAAACGCATGGAAAGAATTTAATATATTCAAGAACAATACACAGTTATCAAACTTCCCTATTCAAACGCATTTAATGAGAAAACGGGCCTGTTTACGTGTAAATTATTTTAGGAAATTTGCATGGGTTACAATATAGACATTGGCATGCAAAATACGTGGCTGCTTTTACATCAGCACACCTAGAAACTGCAGAACAGTCACATATGAAACCAGTAACAACGTCATGTGCTTTCGACCTAAAAAAGAGAACACAATACCATCAACGTACCTAAATTAGGTGCGAGTATCAGCTGCTTCAATAGCAACTGAGGTTTGAAGATAAAGAGGTAGCAGAAATTTCCAAACCAATACTTGCCTGGAAACGGTATATATAGTTTAAGTCAGTGTTATGATGCTTTAGGTGGCTAATTTTTGGGTTGTTATACAGTCAACTTGCTTATAAACTGTTTAAAGGTTCAAGATTAAATAAATCTGAAGAGAGACAGTTGAGGGTTTGCACATCACTAAAAGTTGGTTTTGGTTTTTTGTCTTTGTGGTTGGCATCATAACAGACAGATGTTGCGTCTATGTCTTTCTCTCTC